TCACATGCAAACAAAATATTGCTGAAGATCATTCAAAAACAGCTAGAACTGTACATAGATTGAGAACTGCCAGATGTTCAAGCAGGATTTAGAAGAGGTCGTGATAACAGGGATATCATTGCTGATGTCAGATGGATCCTGGGTGAAAACAAAGAATACCAGAAAAATGTATATTTGAGCTTTATGGCTAAAATTGAAAGAATTGGAATTCTAGAACAATTGATTGTGCTCACATTTGTTGTGTGAAAAGAGCAAGGGAATATAACATGGTTTAAATTTAGGAAAGGTGTTTGTCAGGGTTGTATCCGTTTGTCATACCTATTTCATCTGTATGTTAAATTATTCAAGAGGATGCACTCTATGAAGAAAAATGTGGCATCAGGATTGGAGAAAGATTCATCAATAATCTTTGTTATGCAGATAACACAACCTTGCTTGCTGAAAGTGAGGAGGACCTGAAGCACTTGCTGAAGAAGGGTAAATATTACAGCCTTCAGTATGCATTGCATCTCAATATTAAGAAAACAAAAATTCTCTACACTGAACCAATAGGTAACGTCATGATGGGTGGAGAAAGGATTGAGACTCTCAACGAAGTCATCTTACTTGGATCCACAATCAGTATACCTGGTACCAGCATTCAGATGGTCAGGAGATGTGTTGCATTGTGAAAGTCTGCAGTCAGGGACTGCTCTGAAGTATTGAGAAATAATGATGTCAGTTTGAGAACAAAAGTGCACCTGATTCTGGACATGGTCTTTACAGTCACTTGTTATGCCTCTGAGAGCTATGGATGATTAAGGATGACAGTGATTAAAGATGACAGAGAAGTGTTGATGCCTTTAAACAGTGGTATTGGAGAAGAGTGCTGAAGATCCCATGGATTGTCAAAAGAACAAACAGATATGTCTTGGAGAATGTATAACCAGAGTGCTCCTTGGAGGCAAAGATGAAGCTTTACCTCACATACTTTGGGCATGTTGCTAGGTGAGAGGTTATTCCTTAGAGATGGATATCATGCTAGGAAAGGGAGAGGGGCCGTGAAAGAGAGGAAACCCTCAGCCAGGTGGTTTGATACAGTGACTACTGCAGTGGGTTTTAGTGTGTCAGAGATTGTGGAGATGGCAAGGGATAGGACAGTGTTCAGATCGGTTGTTCATAGGGTCACTGAGTTGTACTTGATTCAGTGGCACATAACAACAATCATCCAAATTGATATGTCAAACTCCTGAACAAAAATGTGAAAAATTTAAAGATAACAAAATCAGAACATTAAAACCAAGTATAGGGCAGAGTCCTCTAGTGGCCTGCTGTTAAGAGACTGCACTGCAATCCCAAAGGTACATAGTTCCAATGCACCAGTGCTCCACAGGAGAAAGATGGGCAAACTCCTCCTATGCAATTTACTACCTCTGAAAACCCATTGGAGGGTCAACTGTGGGTTGGTTCTCATTGAATGGCACACAGCAACAACAACAACATACAGGTCACATATTAAGGAAATGGGCTCTGTTGTTGTTGCTGTTGTTGTTATATGCCATCACGTCAACTACACCTCATAGCAACCCTGTCCACAATAGCTCTGAATCCTGCCCTATGCTGAGTCATTCTCACTCTCTCTTACAAACCTACATCAATTAACCCACTTACAGTGGGTAATCCATCTCATCTGGGGCTTCCTCTCCTGTGCTGTTCTCCACCCTTTCAAGCATGATCTCTTTCTCCAAGGACTTGTCCCTTCTGGCAACATGACCAAAGTATATGAGACAGAGCCTCAAAATCCCTGTCTCCAAGCAGCAGCTTGGTTTAACCCTGTCCAAGACAGATCTCTTTGTTCTCTTGGAAGTCAGTGGTATTTGCAATACTTTTCTCCAGCATCAGAACTACCTACCACCTAAATCATATAGTCTCCTACTGTACATCTGGTTTATTTATAGTCCTAATTTAAGAGACTGATAGCACAATGGCTGGCTAAATTCTAGATTGCTAAAGAAAGATGTGGCTGTTCAGACCCACCCAGAGGCTCTGAAAAAGAAAGAACTAGAAATCTACTCTCATAAAGATTACAGCTTAGCTAGCAGTCACCCAGGATTACTATGAGTTGAAAATGGACCCCGAGCATTTAACAACAACAAATATCTAGATCCTAGAGATCTGAAAGAACAAGAGTTCACACTTATGGGAAATATAAATTATCAGGTTCTTCATCAGCTGGTTGTTGTTGCTATGTGCCATTGAGTTAGAATCAATTCAAAGCTGACTCCTCAGTGGGTTTTCAGAGGTTGTATATCATATGGGAGGTGATTGCCCACATTTCTCCCTCAGGAAGGATTTCAATATCCTGCTTTTGGTTTGGTAGGGAAACTTTCTAACCACTAGGCCACCAGAGTTTCCTTCATCAACTGGTTGTTGTTGATGTTGTTGTTGTTGTTGTT